CTAAGTGAAGATATCGAAAAACTCCAGAAGCGGGCTCTGCGTATTGTCTTGCCATTCGCTACTTATAGAGAAGCTTGCAGTATTACTGGTATATACCCTTACTGAAAGATCGGCGGCGATTATTATGCGAACGTTTATTTGTTAAAAATGGACATGGAGACAAATTGGGTGACCTCTTACCGCCTAAACTTGAACATAACTATAATACACGTTATGGAAGCGATTATAATAACTATAGTTGTAAAACGGACAGATTTATGAAATCGTTTTTTCCACAGATGGTTTCACATATGAATAGACCATAATTTTAATATTTTTAATATTTTTAAATTTGAACTCTATAACTTTTTCAACTGAAGTTATGAATAATTTTATGCATCTAGATATTCTATTGTAGTATAATGAGACTTTCTACTGATGTAATTTAACCTAATAGGTTACAAATCGGTATTTTATTAAATTATTATTATTAGTTGATCTGTGGGTATGGTCTGAAGACTGATTAGCCAGTGAAACATTATTGTCAAAGTTTTCAACAATATGTCGTACACCACCTGCTGCACGGCTTGCTCTTTCAATTGCATTTGTAGTGTTGTTGGCTCCCATGGCTTTAATTAAATATTTCAGATCCTTGTTCCTGTTCTCCTGAAGTAGGCGAATCTCAATATTCCTTGAATTGCCTCCCTTCCAATTAACTGTTCCAGCCCACATAATCTGATGTGATTCTGCTTGTGAGAGAAATGCTTCTAATTGAATAATGCTGATAGGCATTTCAATTGCATATGCATTGTAACCAGGCATTGACTTGAAATGCTGTAGTAGTTGCTTGTGAAGAATGAGCAGTTCCTCTTCGTTTCCTTCTCGCGCAGCATCTTTAAAATCTACAATAATAAAATAGTAACGGAGAAGGAACAATGAATAGTTCATTACACCATCTCGCTGCTCATTACTGGAGGGGGATTCTTGAAGTGGAAGTAAATATGTTCCAACAAACTCATACAGAGCTTCATCAAAATATTTCTTCTTGTTGTTATCAACAAGAATGTTGTGGAATGGCGGTATATGCTTTGTTGGTCGAGCTTCCTGTGACTGCATCTGGGGAAAAGGGAAGATTACTGGGTAATCAATCAATCAAATCAATCAATCAAAAACCTTTATTTAAGCACGGTAAAATCTACGGTTTCGATTAATTTGAGTGCCATGGACAGCCAAGGATTATTGTGAAGGATCAAACGATGAAAACAACAAAACCTCTTGAAGGTTGAAGCTAGTTGAACCCTGCCGTTTACTCAATCTATGAGCTGTAGCAGCCTATTAACCATAGATATCTTATATAAACTAGATTAGGCATCTATCCAAGAATATTCCAGCGGTTAACCCCATTTGAATAGATGGCGGCCATGTTGGTAGTTCGCACTCTCTAATAAACGCTTAACGGCAACAATAACTTTCATCATTTGAATAGTTTGAAAATGTATTTGGAATAGGTTTAACTTAATGTTTAAGTTCCCTGTTTAAGAAATAGAAAACATACGAGTTTTCTCATTTCATGGGAATATCCTGAGTCTGCAATCACGGCTTCAATTTTTGAATTGCAGAATAATTAGATGCACTATCTAGTGTATATAAGATATCTATGCTATTAACAGGTGGACGTGTTTTTTTGTTTCATGTTTGGTTTTGTACTTTTTGCTAAAAATGAACAATTAGGCTATGAAACTGAAATATTTTTCTGTTTATATAAAATCACTTTAATCTTGTAGAAACACGACTAAAAACGTGAACGTTTTCTTGAGAAGTAAACAACTTTTTAAACGTTTGTATCCAATTTGGCAAATGTTTTACAGTTGACAGTGTATATTTTAAAAAACTAAACATTGTTTCGTAGCTATTTTTTGGTTTAGTGATATTCCTATCATAATTATGTAAAATTGCTGTATAGACTCGCAAGTGATTTTGCACTCAAAACGTAGTATTATTCAACGCTTTTTTCCATTAGAAACCTTTCAGAAATGGCTGTTTTTTAAAAAAAAAGCCCGGTCAATTTTTGTTTTGTTTTGATCATGCGATTGCGTGGGATAGTTCACGTACTGGTCCCGGGAACATCCCGCACGCTACTGTAGGGAGCCTCTTAAGAACAAATATAAAAAGACAGTTTACACTTAGACTTTACAAATATTAAGATACTACAATATGCCACTGATTTACAAAATTGCCGTGCGGGAGACAGTTTCATATAGAAAATATATAAGTTATCAATTTCTATTTTGAATTGACTAAGAGAGCAAATTGCATGCCCGTACATTTTGAGGCAACTCATTCCACAACTTACACTGTCCCGTTGTAACTAAAACTTCGTTTACCATAGTTCGTTCGCGGTTTTGGCACAAATAAAGTGTTTCCAGAGTTTCTCAAACTGGGTTAGGTGGAAAACGCGGACATGCGGACACGCGGACATGCGGACATGCGGACACGCAAGTCAAGTGGAAAACGCGGACATGCGGACACGCAAGTCAAGTGGAAAACGCGGACATGCGGACACGCAAGTCAAGTGGAAAACGCGGACATGCGGACACGAAATTTACTAAACTTCAAAAAATCTATTACGACAATAATTAATAATTTTTCGCGTGATATTGAAAGTTATCAATGCCGTGTATTTCTCTCTCTTTTCTCTGTCTTAGTTTGTAAGCTCGTTTAGTGTATTTCGTTTATTTCGCTTCTTTTTTAGTTAGAAAAACAAATCTCGCCATGGGCCATGGCTTTATATGTTCTGCATGTAAAGAAGCTCGTTTTCTGCTGGCAGAATTGATGCCATATTTACATTCAGAAAGCTATATCTGCAGGTGTGATGTCATAATTACACAATCAATTCCATGTATTTTACTTACAGTATTGAAGATTCTGAAAAATCCACTCAGAATCTTTACAAAATACAAACAACGGCAATTCAGAAAACGTTTTCATATATTCAAGTTTCAACTACATATGTTTTAATTGTCATCACGAATGATACTGGGTTATATTTTGTAAGTGAGGAATCACAGAGTAATTTGATATACATACACATACGTATATATTATCAGGTCTTTTGATGCTTTACTTCCCTGCTTCAAGGTTATGTTCTCAGTGCAAAATTGTAGCTGATCATGACTAACTTGTGATTGCCGATCAACACTAGGGGTACAGTTGATCGCACGCGCAGGTATAGTTTTGCAACTATTTATTCGTCGGGATCATTATTATGATATAGAATTATCGTGAAACAGCCTATTATGTTCGAATTTTGCTCGAGAATAATTCTATTTTAATAGGTAGAAAAATGTTCAAACTTGCCAGATCTGACTTTTTGATCGAGTGGGACCTCTAAATACAGTCAAAGCATTCACAAATAATTCTTTGTTTTGTCAACTCTCGTGACAAAACTCATTGTTTTACTAGTGCCCAGAAAACTTTGTTTTTCATCAGACCTCGACGATTGTAGCAATTTCTTAACGACGACTTTTTCTGCTACTGTTTTTTGCTCACTCTTCAAAGGGGCAAGTAACTCTGCGCCAAATGTACCTCTTCCAATCTCACTAGTATCAGAGAGATCAGTCCACAAAAATGTTTCAAGACCTTTCGTGAATTCTTGATAGGAGACCTTCGATTTTGAAAAAGAAGGGAGCTTAAACGACATCTTGTGGTGAATACTCTAACAGCAAAGCATAGATCGGATCGTAACTAACAGCAAAGCATAGATCGGATATTCGGATCGGAACTAACGGCAAAACGGAAACGGAAACAGACATGGGAGAGGGGTAGCTATATATATAAGGACTATCATTCCATATATCGTACGTGAAGATTTATTACAAGATACTCTCGAATTGCTTTGTATTGAAGTTAGAAAACCCAAAAGTAAACCAGTGCTTATTTCAACTTGGTATCGACCACCGAGTGCAAAAATTGAATTATTCCAAAAGTTCGAAAACTTCTTGAAGCTGATTGATAATGAAGACAAAGATATTATCATAACCGGGGATCTTAATTGTAATTTTATTGAGCACACTCAAAACCAAGCTACTTCTAAGTTAATTGATATTATTGATATTTTCCAACTGCAGCAACACATACAAACCCCTACTAGAACTACTTATAATTCTTCGTCTCTGATTGATTTAATTCTTACACGTATCGACGATGATAAAACCTTAGAAGCCGGGGTTGTTGACCTTGGGATTAGTGACCATAGTTTTGTTTATATATGTCGGAAAATTAGCATTCCTAAAGAGCCACCAAAAATTGTATTTACACGACAGTTCAAAAATTACAACTCCCACCAATTTAAAGAAGGGCTAAGCTACTATACTAATCTAGATCCCACATCGAATGATCCAAATGTGCTATGGAATGAATTTAAGAACAACTTTCTTATTATTGCTGAAAAACACGCGCCAGTTAGACAGCGTCGCGTTAAGAGTGAGCATAAACCATGGCTGACGAAAGAAATAAAGCGTTTAATGCATCATAGGGATTATCTTAAAAGACAGAGTGTTCGTTTAACATCGAGTAATTATAACGAGGCCTACAAAAGATGCAAGAATAAATTAAATAAGCTTATTAAAAAGACTAAGGAAGAATACTTTAAAACGAAGTTATCTAATGCAAATAATAGCAAAAAGAGTTGGCAGGCTATTAATGAGCTATTAAACAAAAAGCCCAAAACTACCCATGTAACACAGCTAAATGTAGATGACCAAGTTATAACTGGAGACACAAATATTGCAGACTGTTTTAATCAGTATTTTTCATCCATCGGTTGTAAACTGTCGAAAAATGTCCAAAATATTAATGTTGACCCTATCACATTTGTCACTCCTACGGAGAGTTCGTTTCATTTTTTATGTATTTCAGTCCAAGAGACTTTTGACGCCTTAAACCAACTTAATTCAAGGAAATCACCAGGACTGGACGGCATAAGTGTAAAACTATTAAAAGATACAAGCGATGTTATCGCGCAACCATTAGCCAACATCTTTAATCTATCTCTTCAGACTGCAATTTTTCCGGACGAGTGGAAAATCGCCAAGGTATCACCAGTCTTTAAAGAAGGGAATAAAACTGATTGCGGAAATTGTAGACCAATCTCTGTAATTTCTGTGGTTGCTAAGCTGTTTGAAGGGCTAGTGTACAATCAATTGAGAACGTTTATTGCCGACAATAGCATTCTTGTAGAGCAACAGTCCGGTTTTCATTCACAACACTCTACTGAGACGGCACTCTTAGGTTCGACAAATGAGTGGTTATATAACATGGACAGTGGCTTAATCAATGGAGTCCTGTTCTTGAACTTGAAAAAAGCTTTTGACACTGTCGACCATGAAATCTTATTAATTAAAGAAACTTCACCTATACGGCAGAAAAGGAACTACTTACGCATGGTTTGAATCTTACATCCAAAATAGAAAATCGATTTGTTTAATGAATGGGAAAAAATTACATTCTAGAGAAATTAGGTGTGGGGTACCACAGGGTTCTAACCTTGGCCCCATCCTATTCCTCTTGTATATTAACGATCTACCTAAGTGTCTAGAAACAACCAAGGCCAACTTGTTTGCTGATGACACAAATCTTTCGTGTGCCGGCTTAGATGCCAATGAAATCGAGACTAAACTTAAAAGAGATCTTGAGAATGTTCATAGTTGGCTTAGATGTAACAAACTCACGCTAAACGATAGAAAAACGGAATTTATGATAATTGGCTCTAGACATCATCTTACTAAATTTGAAGACAACCCAGAGATTTCATTAGCCATACGAGATAATAATATTAAACAGGTCACCAACAAAAAATCTCTTGGTTTTATCATCGACGATCAATTAAAGTGGGGTATACACATTGACGCACAATGTAAAAAAATCTCAAAAATATTGCATTACTAAGAAGAGCCAAGTCCTTGTTCCTTTACACATTCTAATCAAAATGTATAATGCTCTAGTATCTCCTCACCTGACATATTGCTCAACAATATGGAATGATGGGTCTAATACCATTCTTAACAAACTCTCTAAGTTACAAAGAAGAGCAGCTCGGGTTATCACAGGACAATCATACGATGTTCGTTCCACTCAAATACTAGAAAGTCTCAATTGGATGCCAATTGAAGACATTTTAAAGAAAAGAGAAATCATTATGACGTTTAAAGCTTTAACTAACAGACTACCTGATTATGTGCAGAACTTCTTCACGAGATGCGAAAATAGTAATTATTCTCTAAGAAGCAATAATGTTAAACTATCTTTGCCTAAACCAAGAACCAACTTTCTTAAAAGAAGTTTCTCTTATAGAGCAACACAAGGGTGGAACGAATTATCGGATGAAGTAACTAATAACATTCAGGATTTATCTTTACCCAATTTCAAAAGGCGTTTAACCCTTAAGCTTGCACATGAATAATGTATAATGCATTTCCGAAATTAATGGAGCACGTAATAATTATGGCTGTAATTAACTGTAAATATCCATAGTTAATGTGTGTTTAATACTATATAGCACGGCCCTTTGAAAAACAGACTGTATATATTATACTGAATAGGCTACCGTGTTAAAAGAAATTTTATTAAAGATTAAAGATTAAAATGAATAGAAGGGCAACTCGCGTGTACAAAGCGTAACCAATTTTCAGTGCGCACGCGCGGGATTCTCAAGCTCGCAGAGTCTCGCAGCCAGTAAAAGCCAGTCAGTGCAATAGGGATTTGTATTACGAAATGTACATTTTGATCACAAAATCGACTATTTTTCGGAAACAAAGGATTGGAATATCAAACTACTACGACTGCCTGCAGAGGCAATTTAAGCCTAAATTATTATTGTGGTTAGCATAGAAAGAAACGAATATTTAGGGATAAATTTGATATTGTTGTGTGAGTTACAGTCCGAATCTGAATGAAATGCCGACAGTCGATCGCGTATACTGTGTTATTTATTTCGATTTTCGAGGTTTATGTCAAATCTTATCAGTACAGGTTTTGGATTGCATCAAATTTTATTTTAAAAAGTATAAATTTCAAAGTCACGAGCAATTAATCAAATTTATTTCGTGCGGGAAGTTGTCTGTTTGTGTCTGACATGTTGAACTACAAATACAAACAATATCAGAAAATGATGTTATTTATTTATGTAATTGAAATATCATGATTATAAATTAACATTCATTCCTATTACTACAATATTACTTCGAATACATCGAATTTTTCCAATAAATAAACCAAACTATCATATGTTAATATACCGTACTTTATACTTTGTAAGTAAACAACATGTATTAATACGTTTAAATTTCGCATTTAGCAATTCTTTAACAGCTCATAACCAACAGAAATGTATTCACTAACCTTCAAATTACAACCAGCAGCCGTGGTTTGTAATTTGAATCGTTCGTTTGCGAAAAATAGTCGATTTATTCAGCCAAATGGCCATTTTGCAATACAAATCTCTAATAAATTGGACTGGCTTTCAGTGCTCTCACAATCAAATTTTCGAATTCCTTAGAAAAAGCTCGAAAATTCCTCAGATTTCCTTAAAATTCCTTAAATTGGTAAAATTACCAGAAGGCCTGATCACACAGTTGCAAAAAGTGTTTTTTTCCTCCTTTTTGCAGTTTTTATAACCTTGTTTCTAAGCATTTGATTGTTAGCGTAATACCGTAAAGAAAACATTCAACATGATGTATTTTTGATTGTTGCTGCATGAAGAGCTTAAAAAATCTGTAGATTTCAGAAGAAATTCTTCCAAGAAGAATAGATTTAGTTTAGATTTACATGTATATTAGTGTGGCGGATATGTGCATGGATATTTCCGAAGAGGGTTATAAAAGCACCAAATTGTGCACAGTAGCATCTTTTTATGAGTAGAACAACATGCAAAAGTGGGGCCATCGTGAAACTGCTTTTTTTTTAATTAGAGAGTTACGATGCTATTAGCGTTATTTGCTATTAAATTCTACTACAACAAAAAATGTGAAATTTTGAATTCAATCGCAACAAATATAACTTGCATCTTCAGGAAGCTTGTAAAAAACTACATAAAAGACTTTTAAACAGTTTTTTTATTCTTCAAATGGTTATTGCTGTAAATTAGGCACATTATCTCGCTAAAGTCCCTAATTAATTATTCGATGTTTGAAAATGCGTTTTTAACAGTTTATAATTCGAAAACTATTTCAGAAATAAAAAAACTGTCTTAACGTCTTATATGCAGTTTTTATAAGCTTTCTGATGGTGCAAGTCATATTTGTTGTAATCGAATACAAAATTTCACATTTCTTGGCTATAATAGAATTCAATAGAAGAAAATTACTACTCCCCCGTTTTCAGGAGTTAGCAGCAAAATAGCGATGGCCCGACCTCAAATATCTATTAAGCAAATAAAACTACATCAATAGCAAAAGTTTGATGCTTTTAACCTCAACGGGAACTACTGATCAATAATTTTACACATATCCTCACTATATGCATTATCATAGCATGAATATTCTTCTGTCAGACTTATTCTGTATCGTACGTATGAAAAACAACGCAATTTTGAGAATGCGGAACTGCTGTCTCATAGAACCTAGAATGATTTAAATGCAACATTTTTGATCACAATCACATTGGGATTTTCTTCCCCCAGCATCACAGAGGGGAAATAAGGTG